GTGGACAACAGGCCCGTCAAGAAGAGGGCAGCCAGTCCAGCCTCGTCATTTTTAGCACTGTTCCCGGAACGGTCGGCGCGGCCCTTGCAGTTCGATCGTCCTGCGCGTGGTGGCTCGGAGTGTCCATCAGGGCTCGCCCGCAGCGGAGGCAAACCGTAGGTGTGCGTGCTTTCTGTCCTCTCGCGCGCGACTCGCGCAATGTGGCGTCACACTCACGAGGGGGAGGGGGACGCCAGCGCCGCCGAGAGCTCAGCTGTTCCAGCTCGATGTCTGGAGCTTTTGACGCCGCTGGCGTCAAAGGATCTCTTTCTTGGGAAGCTGTCTTGCCACGCCTGCATATTCATCATCGGTGGCGATCACGGTGTGTATGGAGACATGCTCGCGATGGTCCTGGGCTGAACTTGTAGCCGAAAGTGGCACGACAGGCGTCGCAGGGACAAATTGCAGAGCCTCCGCTCGTTGGGTCTCAGTTACACACGGCACTGTCAGTACATCGTAATGGTATGGTCGATGTGTCGTGGTTCCACTATCTGTGCCTCGGAAAAGTTGAGGCAGCTGAACCAAGGAGAAAACTTGGCGGCTTCGCAGGGCATCCGTCACCCGAGCTGGCGGCGGGCTGCCCCGCCGCGGCCGCGAGGCTTGGGCTATCGTGGCATAGCTTGGCATGGCTAGCGCGGCAGATCCCAGAAGCTTGAAGTACAGTGCCGGTTTGAATACATGCTCCGCGTGCGGATCATGTATTAAACATGTAAGGATTCAGTATTAAAAGCAACGATGAGTTCATGCATACATCTATTCATAAATTAATCATGGTTCAAGTCTTACATTATTAAACATCCAATGTATTAAAAGCTGCCCTGTACGAACCCCTAAGTGCAAGCATTGTCTGGGGGAAATTCGTGCAGAGCTCCGCACGGATTTCTTCGGACGTGTGCTGGACCCCGCCGGCGGCGCCTCTGACGCCGCCCACTGCGCGCCTCACGCGTCAGGGACGGGGGCCCAGCGCCGATCCAAGAAATCCGCGCGGACATCCGATAATTTATGTACATGCCTGCTTTCGTTCCCCAAGCACACCGGGTTGGAGGCAAGGGGGGGTCAGGGGAAAGGAGTTCACGACATGTGCTGCCGTCAGCCGGTTTCGGTCCCGCCGCCGGGCGCCGGGGGCGCCTTCCGGCGCCAAGAGGCGCTGGGAGAGCCAGCTGCGTTAACAGTTGATCCGCTGCACCCCCTCTTTGCCACCCCCCCGTTCGTCCTGCCCGAGCGCACCAGTGCCCCTGCCCTTCTTGGGCGGCGCCCTCAAGGGGGGGCGCGAGGGGGGCGGCCTTCTAAGATGGCCCAGGGGGGGGGGTTCAGAGGCACGGGCCCTCGGAAGGCCGCAGAGGCTTCGAAGGAGGATTCTTAGAAGCCGGGCAGGTTTTCCGGAAGCCCTTTCCTGCCTCCTTAGAAGCCCCGCCGCCTTTCTAGGAGCTCGCCCCCCTCGCGCCACCCCATCCTGGGCGACGCCCTGAGATCCGATGTCGTGATTCTTTCAATACGGGGGATCCCCTGAAGTCTCGACCCATTCCCCAGAACCGGTTTTTCATCCTGAGTCGTTTTTTGACGGTCCCGAGGCCCGGCGAGGGCCCCTAGGGGCCGAGTTTTGCGGAAAACTTCCCTCTTGTTTTTTTCAATAATTTGGATCCTTGGGCCAACTTCCCTTCGTCGCAGCGGCTGGATCTGCTTCGAGGTCCTGGTCCGGGAGATGTCTGGGGAGCACCGGCGTCGGCATCCTCTTGTCGGGGGGGCATCCTCACGCCGGGGGGAACCCACCGGCGTGATACCGTTGAAGAGGCACCGGGCCTTCGGACAATGGCCCCAGCGAGGCGCCCTGATAGCAGCAACAGTGACGAGGCGGGTCGAGGAGTAGGACCATCGAGAACAAAGGAACCCCTTGTCCCTAATAATACGATGAAGACGTGGCCTCACTCAAGTCCCCGTCTTCGCATTGGGGATCATACATCTGGGCTGTTTAGTCTGATACATCTGCAGGGAAGGCCCTTTGTCCCTAATGTTGCTGGCCCTCCTAACTTAGGTCCCCTCCCGGGGCCCTTGTATTGTTAATCTTAAGTCGGCCCTGTCTCTCTACAGGAGGGATCATCAAAAATGATTCAAACAAAAAGCAGGGGACGATTTTTCTACTATGTTCGATCATTGTGGGGTATGTTTTGACTATTTTCAATTTTTCGATGAAAATCCGCAGGTAGAGGGACATGCCCGACCTAATGCTAATCATGGGAGGCCGCCGCTGGGGATGCCACTGATATGTTGTTCAGCGCTGCCGCTTACTGAGGAGGTACATTCACATGCGGCACCGCACATGAGCACAGATATGTCGAGTCGCCAACTTACCCCTGTGGGACCACTCCAGAGCTAAACGTTCCGCCAGGCGGTGCGCCATAGGGGACAGGGGTGAGAGCACTGCTGTGTGCACAATGTTGCGTTGTTAGTTAAAAGGGATCCTGGCCGTCCGGAGCACACATGTGTCCAGCATTGAGCGACATAACGATTCCTGAACAAATTGTGATGAGGTCTCAAGCGCAACGGATGCTGGACCCAGCGTCCTCGGGCTCCCCTCCACTATCTGGAACCTGCAGCGAAACGCTACTAAGGAAAACCCAACCAGTAGCACGCCGTCGGGCTACCAACGGCAGCGCATCGTTGATACTCCTGCTCCCTCCCGATTTTGGTTCCCCCACGAGGCGGGCGAGAGGCTGGTGCGCGAGAAGCGGTCCGCCTGCCTCCTCTGATGGGCCGACTTTCCACCACCATTACCACATGTAGGAGAGGGAGGGAGGACGAGGAGGAGGAGGCGGAGGAGGAGGAGGAGAGGGAGGAGGAGGAGGAGGAGGAGGAGGAGGGGGAGGAGGAGGAGGAGGAGGAGGAGGAGGAGGAGGAGGAGGAGGAGGATCTCCCCCATCCTGCCCCCGGGTAGTAGTGGTGGAGAATTGGCTCCTCCTCCTCCTCCTCCTCCTCCTTCGTGACGTTGTGCTCCTCACGCTCCATCGCCCCGCGGGCTAAAACGAGCAACCCGTCTGCTCCCTCCCTGGGGCAAGGGGTCATTCTACCTGCAGCGCTGAATCCCTTCGGCCTTTGCAGTGATGGTACTATCAAACCACCTCCTCCGTAAAGGAAGTGGTCTCTCGCCGTGGGGGGAGGGGTTGAGCGCACGACAACCGCTAGTATGTTCAGCTGGCGGATAAACTGGTCGTGTTTCTTCAGTTTCGGAGCTCGGGGCCCGTTACCGGGTCCAGGGGACATCAAATATGGATCCCGCAAGAACAATTGCTCCCGGGGAAGGGGCCGGGATTTCTGGGACCACGGTTTGCAACAATCATAACCGCATGCCGATGATAAGAAAGGGACCCCCCCCTTCAGTGTTTAGAGTTGATTATCGTCGCCCTATACAAAATTCAAATTGGGCGGCGAGCGCTGAGGCCGAACTTCATTATCACCTCGAAACGCTATGTTGAGATAGCAACATCAAGCGATGTTGATATAGCAACATCAAGCGAAGCGATCACACTTTTTCAGGATGTGTCAAGCGAAACCAATAATTTTGGGAGGCAGACTCAAACGAAACGAGCAATGTTCTTATTATTCTTCTACTTTCCTCTTCTTCTTTTATATTTCTATCTGTCCTCACGCTCGCCTGAACTTTTTTATCCCTGGGGTTGATTATCCATGGAAAATGAAGCACATGAGCTACCCTACACGAGCACTTCAAAACATCAATTTTCATAAAGCGTTTGTAAATTAAAATTGATAGATTTGGAACTTTGGATTTTTCCTTTCTTCGTCCTCTTCTTATTCTCCTCTTCTTCTTCTTTCTTATTATTCTTCTACTGTATTCTTCTTCTTTTATATTTCTCTCTGTCCCCACGCTCGCCTGAACTTTTTTATCTCTGGGGTTGATTATCCATGGAAATTGAGGCACATGAGCTACCCTACACGAGCACTTACAAACAACAATTTTCATGAGAGATAAGCCATTGTTGAGGATATTTCTATGAAAACTAAACGCCAAGGATGTCTCAAAACGTGCTCGGCTTGGTCTCCTCTTGATCATCTCTTACTTCGAGATTATGCTGAGGTCTGCTGGGCTACTTTTATTATCTCTCCCTGAACCCCGAACTTTATTATCCCCTAGTGTTTATTCTCACGGGCATGAGGTTATCGTCGGATGCCTGGGTCTCCTCCCCTAGCATCTCCGCCCTCCCATTCGCCCTTCCCCGCCTGCTCGTCCCCCCCTGTCTCATTAGGGTGCCCCTCCTGGAAGGTGAATTTCGGCATCGGCGCTGGTAGAGTCGTGGTCGAAACCCAGTCCCATCCAGCGCCGGCTAATGGCTAATCCCATGTAGTCCCTGTTAATCCGCCCGAACCCGGGGAGCAATCTGGGCTTATCCAGCTCAGTGTTTCCTTTATCGGGTTTGATCGCCTTTATTCGTTCTCACGAAGACCTCCCAGGAGTTGCGTCCTAATCCACTCCTGCAACGCCACCCTCCACCTCCAGCCAGTCCCGCCCGCGGACATGGTGGATCCGACGGCACTTCCGGGGGCTGCCCGCAGCAGGGCAGCCCTTGTCCTCTCCATCCTGGGCCAGTCTCCTGTTCTTCCCCTTGTTTCTCCTGCTGCTCCACGTCCTCCTCCTCCACCTCCTCCTCATCCTCGTGCCTCCTCCTCCTCCACCTCCTCCTCATCCTCCTCCTCCTCCTCCTCCTCCTCGTCGTTTTCCTCCTCCCGCCTCTGCCCCAAGATTCTTCTGGAGGTGCTGAAGTGCTGCTCCCCCGCGGCGGTGGCCTGTCTCTTGTGGGCCCGGGTCGGCCGGGCTGCCTGCAGGGGGTAGCCGGGCCCGGTGAAGCCGAAGCCGAGCCGTGTGCCCGATGCGTGCCTTCCATCCCCCGAGCGCCGCTTCGGGCGCTCCTGGGGCTCCCGCGGAGCACGGGGCTCGGCTCGTGGGGGCC